CTGCAATACATTAATCATTTAGGCTCGTTTCCTGGTTGGAGAGGTCACAGTATTGAATGACACTAGGACTTTGACAAGCTCTATCTAGTAGGTAATTTGTATCATTTATATCCCAAGTATATAAGGTCATGCATTTTCAGGCTAACGATAAGCATTCACAAGGGTGAACATATTGAAAAGTAATCGGAGCAATGGTGAGCTTGCAGTGATGTGTTACTTTGAATAATTGTTTAACAATTGTCCATATTAAGTGCGAAAGAAGTTTCTGTTATGTTGAAAGAAGTATTCGTGTACTGTTCTAGCTTCTATTATTCAAAGCTTGAGATGTACATCACGGCGAGCTCTAACCATCCTCAGTCACAGACTTTGAGTAGACCAACAGTTTAAGTATAATCTCAGCTAATTGCTATGTACCTGGATTTCCTGAGTATCAAGGAATTGTGCACTGAGTTTGATTCGGGCGCGAAACAAAAAAGGGAAAAAGTATCTGAAATATTCTTATCGAGTACCAAAGTCTATGAGTTCGTCCATGTGGGAACATATAAGGAAGACTTACAAGCATGCGCAACAAATACCCTCAAATTTCAACCGTATTGGTGCTTATAGCTTTGGTGCTCACGAAATATCACCATCTAGCAATCACTTCTCGTTAAGTGGGCGGGGTTCGGCAGTGGCGAGGGTCAGACAATGTTGCATGACTGAAATACTCACCAGTAACAGCCTGCACCAGTTATCACGATGTAAGGCTTGTTTTTCTCCCAAACAAACGTCCTACTGTCAGTATTAATAAGCTGGCCGACAAAATTGATGTCTTGTGCGTGATGGCCGTTGCCACATGAATGACTTTTAGGATAAACGCTAGATATACCACCCCACCGCCACCTATAAAACACAAGATAGATATTTATTTTATTTTTATTTTATTATCTTTGCCCAAATTACATAAACAACAACAGCAAAATCAACAAAAGATACCATGACAACAAATACAAAATAATATTAGGGGCAGGGACACCGCAACAGTTTGAGCCAATTACTGCGGACCCGAGCTATAGCTTTCAAAAGAAAAACAAGAAAAACGGTCGGACAAAAGATATTACAAATAATTAAAAACAACATGTTAGACTAGTAGTGAGGCTTCTCACACCGTTGCAGTCGGGACAGATAGATTTCCAGGTTTAAGGTACTTCGGGGTCATAATTTAGGGTCAAAGCAGTGAAGTAATATTTCAGTAAAGTATTTCTAAATAAGGAAAGTTTGGAAAAGCTTGAACTTTCTAAAATACTTAGGATACTACGCGCGCTGTGATTGGTCGAAAACCATGTTTGATTACAGTATCAAAACACGCTCGTGCGCGTCAAAAATTTCTTTTATTCTTTTAATTTTAGAAAAGAAATAAAAGACGAAATTCCGTGTTTGATACTCTGATCAAAACACTTGGGATGTAGGGAGAGCACTCGAAAAGCTGGAAACCACTCCGCTACGCGTCGTGGTTTCCTACGCTTCTCTCGTGCTCTCCCTACATCCCGCGTGTTTTGATCAGAGTATCAAACACGGAATTTCGTCTTTTATTCCTTAAATAAAACACACCTACTCGTTTTTTTAAATATCACATAGAACTGATTAATAAAACATCAGTGCTTTATCGGGATATAAAGGCCCATCATGTGACCCAATAGTTCGATACTAATTGGACTAATAGTTCATGAATTATTAATGAGTTCTAGAAAGGTTTTTGCGGGTCATTTCAGTGCGTCTTGTTTTGATGTTTAGTTTAGGCTCTTATAATATACTCGTTAGAAAACACGTTCATTTGCGTACTGGGTGTGCTATTGTTACAGTATTTCCAATTTAGCCTTACAATGCCTTCTGTCATAGTTTTGCTGCGGCGCAGAGAATAAAGACTCCAAACGCGTTTCATTGCGTCTTGTGTGGTTATTATAGCTTTAGATTTGTCTTGTGTCTTGATTCTACAGCAACGCAAATAAATAAATATTTGCTGTTTATTTTGATCATAATTCACGGTACAACGGTGACGACTCTAAAAAGTTTGCGCGCATTTTCGTGTTGTTAACCGTCAGAAAACAGCAAAAATAACAATAATAATAATAATAATAATATTGATAATATTGATAATATCCTTTGGGACCTGATGCTTCACGGTGGATTGACCACTATTCGTTAACATGACAACGCAGATTATCACTGTCTTTATACAGCTATTTCAAAAAACGTTGTCGGGGAGGACGACGAACGGCGATTGTCGAAGGGACATTGCGCAACCGAAAGCCACTAGTCGAGTGAACGCACTTAATCCGTGCAACAACTGTACAAAATCTAAGTAGTACTAGTTTGTACTAAAAGTGGACCTGAAGCAAGACGGTATTGAATGCTTCATTTGTATCAATTCAATTTAATTTGCCGTACCGCATGCAAGATTTACTATATACAACTAAATAGAACTCTTCAGAGTTTGTACAGTCAACTCTCTAGTAAGCGACCACCTCGGGATCAGGAAAAAGTGGTCGCTTACGAGAGATGGTCGCTAACGCGAGAGGTTTTTTTTACAGAGTTTATATGGGGAACAATTATAACGGCAAATTTAAAACGTGCATGGTCGCATACGGGATATGGTCGCTTACGAGAGTGGTCGTTCAAAGAGAGTCAACTGTACGAAAAAAAGGGAAAACAAACAATGAGTAAGTGCCGACATTTTTTTAATTATTTTTTTAATTATTATCGTCCATGAAAGTAGATGTTGACGCTGTACGGCATCTTCCAGCCTGAAAGATAGATGGCAAAAAAACGTCATTTAGAGATATTTATACAGCAGGAAATACTGCTTAAAAATGTAATTACACATGTTAATTACAGATACGTACCTTGTCTTCTTTTCGAGCGTTTGCGCGGGCAGTGTCGGGCAATATGCCCGACACGCCCGCATCTATAGCATCGTTTTTTCGTTTTTTCTTTTTTGTCTATAATTAAAAGGAAGCAAGCGAACATTTAAAAATTTCATCCTGTAAATACTCACAGTCGGTGTTATTACCTCCACCAGCAGCCGATTTGTCTGCTAGTAAGGTAAAATATTATATTTATAATAACACATTTTAGATATCCCAAAGAAAGTTTGAATTGAAGCTGAAAGTTGCATTTTTCTATGGGGCTTTTTTGCGTATGCATTGCAGAGACTGAATATAAATCAGATTGCCAATATATCATGTGAAGCGAAGCCGTTTTGTACAGTAAAGCCCTCGCGCTTTTAGAATCAAAGAATGCAATTCCCATTATCTTATGTTGCTCAAAATGCACTGTCTATTGATCGATGTTTTGTTGTACCTTTGCTATTTTCTTCTGTTTGGTCATCTCTGCTTCTAGAAAAAGAGAAAGGAAAACTTAAATGTAAATTCCTGTTTCCATTCTGTCTCAGATTTTCATTGTGTGCTACAATCTTAAATCTAGTATCCTAAAATTTGAAATTACTAATGCATTATTTTATGGCTAATATTTATTATTACTTTATGGCTAAGAACTACCTCTCAAATCTCTAAACACTATCATTTTATGTGCATTCCAGCATCGCAAAATTGAAAACCAAACGAAACATAAAGCATAAATCATAAAAATGTTTTTACTTATTAAATAAAGAAGAATAAAAGAGAAAGTCTTAAAAAATCTTACAAAATGAATCAGAAAAAATTCACGGCTTCATGTAGGGCTGGAATCGCGCACTACGCAATACATTGACTTCGCCGTGAAAGCCGAGCGGGGAAGAGGCCGGGGGAATTTGAAAATCTCTCCCTCTTCTTACTCGGATTATCATAACCGAAAATCTCGTACCCAGAGCGACAATTTATCACGGGAGTCCTCCCTCCCCCGCGAGCGTCATTTACAATAGATCATCGATCACAAGTTAAGTTTTATCATTGTTAACTTACTCATTTTGCCCTTCTTCTGTCATCTTTGTATGTTTACTTCTTTGTAGTTGAATCTAGATGGCGAAAGAGTTTGCAAATCAGTTGGAATACCTCCCTTTCAGGGTCAAGGTAAGATTTGCGTTAGTAGAGGGGAATTTAGTAAACTATGGACCGAGTGACTCGATCAATGGTCAAATAGCGCTATTATTCATGTTACTTTTTCTTGCTTAGCCCACCAAAAATATCAATTCGCTATAAGCTAGAATTGTTGGCAATGTTTTGCACCGGATAGGACAGAAAGTCTTCCCGAACTACAGAATATGTTAACTTATTGTCTTCAGTGAAAAAATAGGCTTGGGTGATCTCCAACAGAGCATTAATTATTAGTGCCTCGCATTTTAGGCGAAAAGTGCAATTAATCACGGCAATTAATCAGGAAAAAGGGGCATATTTAGCGACTTACCTGCTTAATATCGCATGTACACAGCTCAGTTCAGTCTCGTGGCGATGTAAACGCGACGAGATGTGTGACGTCATAAGCGCGGGAAAAAGTGGAATGAAAATGAGGCTGAAAAAAGTATTTTCGTGTATCGGAACTCGATATTATTCTCTTCTACTGTATTCATTTAATGTGGACACAATTTTTCATTTAATGTTTCTGACAATTTAGTACAAAGCCCTACTAAATTCCAATTCGCGATCACAAATTGCGCACGGTTTTGAGTTGTATGTCAATTTTGCACTACATTCTCAGTCTAAAAATTATCGAAAATCATTTTTATAATAACTTGTAGATTTCTCGTGCGCTGATTGGTCTAGAGCCATTGTCACTGAGAGTTAGATAGCAATTCTTTCACCTCGTAGAAAATGCAAATTCATAGGGCTATTTTTTCTTGCTTTCTTTTGGTTTTGGTAAGCGTCTCTGCGCATGAGAGACTGTTGTCAACTAAAGCAGCGGTTGCTCTCTTTGAACGGGATAAAGGCGGTTTTTTAGAGGTCCGTGACGGGGTTGCGTGACACAATCCAATCTTTTTAAAAATATTAAAAATATCTCGAGAACCAAGCAATTGATTACACTCATTTTTGTTCTTATCTCTTTATAATACTCATAGTTATAATATATAGTTTGTA